TAGATTTAGCAATAATTTCAAAAGACACTATCAACAAAGTAAAGGCAACCCATAGAATGGGAGAAAATATTTGCACATCATATATCTGATATCCAGTTAATACCGAGAATATACAGAAAACTCCAACAACAAAAAAATCTGATTAAAAAAACATAGAAAGCACTTGAATAAACATTTCTCCAAAGAAGATATAAACATGGCCAACAAGCACAGGAAAAGATGCTCAATAATCACTAATCACTGGCGAAATGCACATCAAAACCACAATGGGGGGCGCCTGGGTGGCTCAGATGGTTAAGCGACTGCCTTCGGCTCAGGTCATGATCCTGGAGTCCCGGGATCGAGTCCCGCATTGGGCTCCCTGCTCAGCAGGGAGTCTGCTTCTCCCTCTGACCCTCTTGGATCTCGTGCTCTCTCTCTCTCTATCTCATTCTCTCTCTCAAATAAATATATAAAAAATCTTAAAAAAAAAAAAAACCACAATGGGCTACCACTTCACTCATTAGGATGGCTATTAAAAAAACAGAAAACAAGAAGTGTTGGTGAGGATGTGGAGAAAATGGAATCCTTGTGCACTGCTAGTGGGAATGTAAAATGGTGCAGTTGCTATGAAAAAGAGTATGGAGTTTCCTCAAAAAATTAAAAAGGAGAATTACTTTATGGGCCAGTAATTCCACTTAGGATACATACCCCAAAGAATTGAAAACAAGGGCTCAAAGAGATACTTGTACACTCATATTCACAGCAACATTATTCACAACAGCCAAAAGGTGGAAGCAAGCCAAGCATCCATTTGTGGATGAATGCATATGCAAAAGGTGGTATATACATACTATGGAATATTATTCAGCCTCAAAAAGGAAGGAAATTCTGATACATGCTATAACATGGATAAACTAAGGACACTGTAGTTAGTGAAATAATTCAGTTATAAAGGATACGTGTATGATTTCAATTACATGAGGTACCTAGAGCAGTCAAGTCATAGAAATGGAAAGTAGAATGGTGACTGCCAGGTACTGCAGGGAGTGGGGATTGAGGTGTTATACTGAACAGGTACAGAATTTCAGTAGGGGAAGATGAAAAATTCTGAAGATGGACAGTAGTGATGACTGCACAACAATGTGAATGTACTTAATGCCATTGAACTGTACATTTAAAAATGGTTAAATTATAAATTTTGTGTTATATGTATATTTTACCACAATTAAAAATATAAATGTAGGGCATCTGGCTGGCTCAGTCAGTACAGAATGCGACTTTTTTTTTTTTTAAGATTTTATTTATTTTAGAGAGAGAGAGAGAGAGAGAGCAAGTGTATGAGACCAGGGGGCAGGGGAGGGAGAGGCAGACAGGGAGGGAGATAGAGGGGCAGAGAATGTCAAGCAGACTCCCTGCTCAGACGGAGCCCTGCTTGATCCCATGATCCTGAGATCATGACCTGAGCTGAAATCAAGAGTCAGACACTTAACTGACTGAGCCACACAGGCTCCCTGAGTATGCAACTCTTGATCTCAGGATAGTGAGCCTCAAGCCTCATGTTGGGAGTAGAGCTTCCTTACTTCCCAACTAACTAAACTAGAAAGCTGCTATCAATATTGTTTAAAAATAAATAAATAAACGCACTTATATAAAGTTGCTTAAAAAAAAACCTGACAGGGCCAATTTACCTGGAAATGCAAATCAAAGAATGATTAAAGAAAATCTATGATTTCTTTTAGTGGTGAAAGGAACAAGGACACAGACAACACACTGGCGTAATCAGGCAGAGAAGAATGTTAAAAACCAGTAACAATGTATGTTAACTATACTGCAATTAAAAAAAAAAAAACAAAACCCAAACGAGAATTTAAATAAAAATTTGAAACAGGGCGCCTGGGTGGCTCAGTTGGTTAAGCGACTGTCTTCGGCTCAGGTCGTGATCCTGGGGTCCTGGGATCGAGCCCCACATCGGGCTCCCCCTGCTCTTGGTGAGCCTGTTTCTCCCTCTGCCTCTGCCTGCCACTCCCCCTGCTTGTGCTCTCTCTCTCTGTCAAATAAATAAATAAAATCTTTAAACAAATTTTTTTAAACAAAAACAAACCAGGAACAAGATTTTGCTATATTTAAGTCTGAGTGGGAGATGAGTTACCAAGTTAGTCCTTAAGTGTGTATTATAAGGATCCATTAGTTGATCCAGATAGAAAAAGACCCAGATACACAAGCATTCTTAAATAGATGTTCTTTGAAGGACAGTGACAGCTCTTAACTGCAGTATCTGATCTGAGTATGTCTGTACATACTGAGCACAGAACAAAAATAGAAATAATTCCAGTACCCTGAATATCTAAAAAACAAAGCTAATAGAAACATGCAAAAAAACAAACACTCACCAGCAAGAGTCCTAGAGAGTGGCAGATGTATGCTTACAAGATCTTCAGATACTCTGTAGGACTTAGTTTCCAGAGTATGACCACACAATTGTACTACTGTCTTGCTACTAGATATAAAACTTGTACTGCACCTCATCACAGCTTTGTGACATTCTTTATAAGCCACGAGTAAGAGCTCTTCCTAAAAGAAAAAGAAAAATGCAAATACATTAACAAGTTATCTACTTTACCACACCATTCAATAAATATTTAGTAAATATAAGCACAAAATTATTTTATGTATAGCAGGGATACCTACAAAGGATCTGCAAACTAGGTGGAAATATCAGACAAACACACACGCACTATCAAAGTAAAACATTTTAAGTACCATGTAAATGGTACAGCAACTACCCATATCACATATTTTTTGGCAACCCTCATCTTATGGAAGGCATGCATAATTATTCAAGATGAGGTCAAAGTATGCGTTGCTCATCTTGACATTTACCAAACCTTCTGAAGTCATCTACATTTGCTGTTGTCACTCTAGCTTCTGAAACTTCTTTAGGGTCTGCTTTCTGCCCTTACCAAATTGATCGGAACTGCTTTTTGAAAAAAAATTCAAAGAATCCATGTAGTAACCAAATTCAGAGGGTCTTTCCTAAGTCCTCATCTTCCTTAAAATGTGTGTGGCACTGTATTCTGTTGAGTACCTTCATCTTTTTTTTTTTTTAAGATTTTATTTATTGGGGCGCCTGGGTGGCTCAGTCGTTAAGCGTCTGCCTTCGGCTCAGGTCGTGGTCCCAGGGTCCTGGGATCAGGCCCCGCATCGGGCTCCCTGCTCCACGGGAAGCCTGCTTCTCCTTCTCCCACTCTCCCTGCTTGTGTTCCCTCTCTTGCTGTGTCTCTCTCTGTCAAATAAATAAAATCTTTAAAATAAAAGATTTTATTTATTAATTTGAGAGAGAGAGAGAGCAAGAGCGGGGTAGGGGCACAGGCAGAGGGAGAAGCAGACTCCCTGCTGAGCAGGGAGCCCAACACGGGGCTCGATCCCAGGACCCTGGGATCATGACCTGAGTCGAAGGCAGACGCTTAACCAACTAAGCCACCCAGGCACCCCTGATGAGTACTTTAATCTTTCTGAAACTTTCTTTCCCACTGATTTTTACAAACCTACTTATTCTGATACTTCTGTTACTGATTAAAGATTTCAAGCAGTGATTCTTTTTTTTCCTTCCCAATTCCTTCTGCCTACTAAATGAGACATTCCCAATATTCTCTTCTTACAGGTCTTTAATTTCTACCACCTCAATTAAAACTGCAGAGATGACTCTCCTAAGCTATATCATTTCTGTTTATGTGCTAGACATTCTTGCTTAGGTCTTACACTTATATTTCAAATTCAGAATAGATTAAATTGGTTTGTCATCATTTCTGCTTTATTGTGCACTTCCCTTCTCAATTTCCCTTGTTCTGTTAATGACACTATGATTCATACATTCATCCACACAGAAAATTTCAAAGCCACTGCATTCTGTGTGTTAGATGTTAACAGATTTTTCAGGGGAAAAAAGTTCTGTGTTCACATAAGACTGAGAAATGCTAGGCTGAACAAGATCAAGTAGGATTTTTTTAAATGCCACTGAACTTTTCAAACCCTTTAATTAATCAGTGTGCTGATTTCTAAGTGGAATATTTCCCAAAATTTATTTGATCATAGAATTCCTATTTTGGGATAAAATTAGTGTGAGAAACACTATCTTGAAAAGTCAGTTTTGACTCTTCTCTTCCTGGCATACTACCCCGATTTGAGTTTTCCTTATCCTAAATTTATTTTATAATCCTAACTTATTTCCTATGGGTTCTTTCTCTTTTTCCCTGACTGCCCCCATCCTAGTTAAGATCCTGTCACCTTAGATTTAGACTTCATAGTAATCTTTCTGTTGGTTCCCTTGCCTCCTAACATTACCCTCTCCAATCTGCCATCTTCAGTGACACTCATTAATTCTTCCTAAAGCAGTGTGTTGACATTGTTACACTTCAGACACAATCAGTGTATTCACATACTGATGCCAAGGCATATTTCCAGCTTAATTGCTCATTAATTTCATCCACAAATCCCTTGATTTATCTAGTTTTTATTCTTCCACACTGCCTGAACAGGAGTTGGACTTCCCCTTATTTCTCTGTTTACTCTGTATCTCTGCTTATGATGCCACTTTTCCCCACACTTAAATTCTGCATATTCTTTTACACCCACTCAAAAATGCTTTCACAAATATGTCTTCCCAGTGGTTTGTAATTCTTTTTCCTCCCTCTTAGAGTAATTTGTTTGGACAATATTTCCTGTCCTTATTGTTCTACAAAGCTACAGTGCTAGATTAAATTCTGTCCTGTCTGTATGACTGCTCTGAACCTGTGACCAACTGCTCATGGTGAAGCAGAAGAAAGGAGGAAAAAAGAGAGTTCACAGAAGTAGCAGAGACAATGAAGGGGCTTTTATTCTTATTGATTTTAAGGATAGGGGAGGCCTGTGGGTGTACAGGCAGATGAATGAAAGACTGGGAAATCGTAGAGGTGACAAATGAGGAAGCCAACTCCAGGAAGAAGGAGCTCAGGACCAAGAGCCTAGGTAGAGACCTTAGTTTTAGAAAGAAAGAGATGAAAAGAAAGGGACCAATTGTGAAGACACAAACTTAATGAATAGACTGTGTCATGTGAGAGGTACAGAGAAACTAGAGAAAATGAAAGAATTTGATGCAGATAATGTCAGTTTTCTCAAAACAGAAATAAATGAGGTCATCCTTCTCAAAAGGGAATCTAGGGTAGGACTGTGTGTTTCAAGAGGGTTATGGCCTAAAATTATTGCATAAGGAAATATATTAGTTCTGTATTTTGAAATTAATTTTCTTAATGGTTTAACATGCATAACAGAGCTCTTGATTGAATAAATATCCACCCTTCTCTATTATTGAAATATTTTAAAGTCTATGTGATCCTAATTTTCATATTAACATTCATGTCCAAGGAAATAAATGCATACATAAATAAATAGTGTTTTGTTGTATTGTTTAAACCCAATTCCCAGAGGTAAATGAAACTACTATGGAGCACATTTTTTTAATTAAGTATAAAAACTGGATTTTCTGGGGCACTGGGTAGTTCAGTCGGTTAAGCATCTGACTTTTTTTTTTTAAGATTTTATTTATTTATTTGACAGAGAGAGACATAGTGAGAGAGGAACACAAGCAGGGGGAGTGGGAGAGGGAGAAGCAGGCTTCTCGCCGAGCAGTGAGCCGATGCTGGACTCGATCCCAGGACCCTGGGATCATGACCTGAGCTGAAGGCAGACATTTAACGACTGCCTTCGTTAACGACTGAACCACCGAGGCACCCAAGCATTTTGGCTTGGGTCATGATCTCAGGGTCCTGAGATCCAGCCCTCTGTTGGGCTCCATGCTCAGAGGGAAGTCTGCTTGAGATTCTCTCTCCTTCTCCCTCTGTCCCTCCCCCTGCTCATGTTCTTTCTCCCTCTCTCTAAATAAATAGAATCTTTAAAAACAAACAAAAAACAAACACTGGATTTTCCTTCTAAATTTAATAAGACAAATTCAAATACACAACTACTTAAATAATAAAATTTTACATCAAGCAAGTTGCTACATAAACTCTACTACTAATAACCATTAGAGCACTTAAAAAGGCACTAATCCTACTAAAAAGTTTTACTTACGTCACAAGCGCACCACTCTTGGAACATGAGTAAAATATTCTTTAATTGCATCTGTATAGCAATGGCAGCCTCCCAGTCAGGATCCACTTCTATGTGTTGCCCAACCTGTCTTCTGATTTCTTCCATTCCCTATAAGAAAAGAGTGATTACTATATATGTATATAGTAAGCCCTCTTTGTTTACTCCTCTACTGTCAAAATATAAAATTGTTAGGATTCATATTCATATATGCATAGCTTTTTTAACATGGCTATTATACAAGGTCAGAATGCATGGGTTCAAATCCCAGCTGTCACTTTCTAGCTGCATGTGACCCTGGTCAAATTATTTCTAGACTTCAATTCCCTTATATGGAAAATGAAAATAATAATAACTGCCTCATAAGATTGCTATGATGCTCAGCAGAGATAATGCATGTAAAGTGGTTACTACCATATCACATAATAAGCATTCAGTAAACATCAAAGAGTAATAGCAGCAGTTAACTAAAGTATACAGAATTATACCTATTAAAGATCTATTAAAGCAGGATCAGTGAGGCAGTGTTTAAATTTTATTTCTACTTTACTAGATATAGTCTTCCTCAAATAACAAACAGAATTTCCTTAAAACAAAGAAAGACTGGGGCTAAATTTTTAAAAATAAATTTATTTTACTGATGTACAGAAGAACTATCATACCTGCATACAGGTAAGAATCTTCAAAAAAGACCGAAAACCTTCAAGGAACTGCATTCTTAATCTTTCTGTCCATGCTGTGGGCTTGCTGATTAGGATATACCTATCATTTCAAAAGAAAAAGAAATATTTCACTTTCCCATTCTGAGATAATTTTAAAGTTCTCAAAGCTACAGACAATGTTGATTCATCAACATTATGGATTCTAATTTCTTAAAATAATTAGACGCTCTGGGCAGAGCTAGGATTATACCAGCAAAATGTGAAGGCTCTATGAGAGGCGGCTGTCAAAGTTAAGCCTGACTTCTCTACTCAGAAGTTGTTCTGCTTAATGATCCTTAGAAGCAACCTAGCCTATCACAGATGGACAACCACAGTACAGATTTTCTAGTTGCTCAAAATATGTGAATTTCCCCTTTTCCTTGTCATTAGAGATTTCTCTGTTTAGGTAAGGATATAGGAGAGAAGTTGTAATAACTATCAGAAGACTGGGAAAACTTTAAAGTTAACATCCAAACCAGCAACCCTAAAATTTTAACATACGGTAAGTATCTAGGGATGTGCTGACTCTAAATTATTCATTGCAGAGAATAACTATATTCAGAAATACATAAAATAAAATGTGATAAAACAATGAGGTGATTATGTACCACTTCCCTGGATAAAAAAATAACTCAGCTACAAGAATATTTCACAGTAATGAGGGCCATAGTAAAAAGATTTTTCCTGTACATTAGACAAAGGAATAATAAATACACTGATTTAACACTGTTAAGTTTAAGTATGGCCATTTGGCATTTTTGTGCATTTTGTGCTTGTTTGTTTTTGCATACATGTAATTTATGCATAATTTGTGAAGCACACTGGCTAAATAGTGATTCACTACAGAATTCATCTACCATCTCTGTACTGAAGTTGTGGTAATGTAATAATTTGCTGAACTTTAGAGAAAGATTTATAATCATATTTAAAAACTGAGAAATTTGAAAAGGTCTGGAAACTTTCTCCTTCGTAATATCAAGGTTCCAATGCATAATTCCAGAAATCTGTCAAATGCATTTTTTAAAAATATTTATTTATTTGAGAGAGAAAGAGAGAGAGAAGGTTGGCATGTGGGGAGGGGCAGAGGGAAAGGGAAAAAAGCAGGTTCCCCGCTGAGCCGTCAATGCAGGGCTCTATCTCATGAACCTGAGATCACGACCTGAGCCAAAAATCAAGAGCCAGTCACTTAACTGACTAAGCACCCAGATGCCCCTGTCAAATGTATTTTTAAGCAAACCAAACTATTTCTAGGTTAGTTTGGAAGCCTGTTTCCACCTCTCTATGCCCTAAACAGTCACTAAAAGAGGTAGACAAAATTAGAATGATTTTTCCCCCCTGGGGACTAGAAATAATTAATCCTATACACCTTGAAGCTCTTTACTTTAAATGGTAAACTAAACGAAATGTATTTTGTTTTAATATATTCTTTTTTTCCCCAAGATTTTATTTATTTTGACAGAGAAAGAGACAGCGAGAGAGGGAACACAAGCAAGGGCAGTGGGAGAGGGAGAAGCAGGCTTCCCGTTGAGCAGGAAGCCCGATGCCGGGCCCAATACCAGGACCCTGGGATCATGACCTGAGCCGAAGGCAGACACTTAACAACTCAGCCACCCAGGCACCCATTTAAAAGAATTTTTTGAAGCTTGTGGTTTACTGAATACTTGATATATCACAACCCTTATAATATTCACCAATTCTAAAATAAATGGAAACTTACTTCAAGTCCAACAATCCCAAAAGTGATCTATCATGTGATTCCAACTTTAGTTTAAAAGGAAATTCCATCCTTTTCAGCAAAAAAACTTAAGAAACCCCTGATGAGCATTAATAATTTGGTTGTATGTATGAAAAAGGGAGTTAAAAAGAAACTCAGATCAACAAGATTATCTGAAACTATGTACAAATAGACTATGTAAAAGGAACAGAACCAAAGTGCATGAGTGAGAGTGAGTGGAAGGCATGGCAGTTATGATGGAGATTCATTTAGTGACCCCAAGAGACCCAAAGTTCCTGTAACAGGCCCCTCCTCAATACTTTCTTTGTTAACCTGGCTGTAACTCTCTAAGAAGCCTTCACTTAAAACATTTATTGACATGAGACAGTAACAGTTCTTTGTACTTGCCATCATTATAAGGAGAATTCTAAATAACCAAAAGGATCGGAAGTTTATTTATAAAATGGAATATATAAGCACATTGTGATTAACAGGTACCCTTACCTTTTGACTTGAACAACTTACTTTAAATCACATATTACTGCATATACTCTTCCCAATTTGTCCTGGCTATAACCCTGGAAGTTGAATTTATTGTTCCTGTCCAAGTATTCAGGCAAAACTTCTAGTAGGGTTTCAGTAATGACAGAAATAACATTCTGTTCTTCAATAAGATGTCGAGCCTGCAGAATATTTCAAGAATATTCTTTATTATTAACTCATGATTGTATGGACTTAATTTATTCATTCATTTGGTTGGTGAGTCATTTTAAATAAATGTTTCAAATAAATGCATCAAACACAGTCCTTAGTCTCACAGAACAGCAAATTCAGAGAAGTTATTTTCTAAGAGTAAAAATTCCCTACTCCTCAGTAACACCTGTCTGGACACTCCAAGCCTATCACATAGGTTACCTACATAAATGTTCACCATTGGTAATCACACAATGAGCAAAGTAGGACACAGATACACTTCATGACTTCTATCATATTACTATCTATTCTATCATATTACTGTTACTATCTCCCTGTCACTCCTAATCCACTGTCTCTTCTCCATCCTTTTCTCTGGCCTTTTAAATGGGAAAGTAAAAATATTTAACCAAACTATCCAGAAGAAACATGAAAAGTAGTAGTATTAAAAAAAAAAAGAATTCTCCACTCTCCTCCCAAGCCTATACAGTACCATATCAGCACCTATTTCATGCAAATGCTTGCGAGTAGTCTCTCCTCCTGCTTTGTTTTATCTTAATCTGTACCCCTGCCCCCAAACAATAACTAAAGAATAAAAGAATAGCAAAAAAAGTAGTCTGGGTATTGAAGACAGGGCTCCCAAGTTAATCTAGAATCTGAGAAACCAGTTTTGGACTTCACCTTCAGGGATCAGGACTATTGGACAATGGTCATGCCATCACTTCCACTCCAAAGCGATCTTGTCCTCGGGTCCCACTAAAGTGTACTTCACATGCAGATACCACTGAATTATTATTCAGTCTTCCAAATGAAATTAGTGCAATATAGTACTGACATTGTTTTAATTTGATTCAATACTAGGCAAAGTTTTTTTTTACTTTTTTGTTATGTTTATCACCATACGTTACATCATTAGTTTTGATGTAGTGTTCCATGATTCATTGTTTGCATACAACACCCAGTGCTCCATGCAGAACGTGCCCTCTTTAATACCCATCACCAGGCTAACCCATCCCCCTACCCCCTCCCCACTACAACCCTCAGTTTGTTTCTCAGAGTCCATAGTCTCTCATGGTGCGTCTCCCCCTCCAATTTCCCCCCCTTCATTTTTCCCTTCCTGCTATCTTCTTCTTCTTCTTCTTCTTTTTCTTAACATATAATGTATTTTTGTTTCAGAGGTACAGGTCTGTGATTCAATAGTCTTATACAATTTACAGTGCTCACCATAGCACATACCCTCCCCAATGTCCATCACCCAGCCACCCCATCCCTCCCATCCCCCACCACTCCAGCAACCCTGTTTGTTTCCTGAGATTAAGAATTCCTCGTATCAGTGAGGTCATATGATACACGTCTTTCTCTGATTGACTTATTTCGCTCAGCATAATACCCTCCAGTCCCATCCACGTCGTTGCAAAAGGCAAGATTTTATTCCTTTTGATGGCTGCATAATATTCCATTGTGTGTGTGTCTGTGTGTGTGTGTGTACACACCACATCTTCTTTATCCATTCATCTGTTGATGGACATCTAAGCTCTTTCCATAGTTTGGCTATTGTGGACATTGCTGCTATAAACATTGGGGTGCATGTGCTCCTTCAGATCTCTATATTTGTATCTTTGGGGTAAATACCCAGTAGTGCAATTGCTGGGTCGTATGGTAGCTCTATTTTCAACTTTTTGAAGAACCTTCATACTGTTTTCCAGAGTGGCTGCAAAGTTCTTGAAAAGCAAAATAGGTTTTATTTGCAAAGGTTGCAAAGAAATGATCAATACATACCAGAGTAGGAACAGTAAACATCTGAACTGAGAGTGCAGTTACTGAGATACTTCTGTCATGATCATCACTGATATATTCTTTTTGCAGCTGTTTATAATACTGAAAAATATAGTAAGTGGAAAATCAATTATAAATTACTGAAAACTTTTAAAATCCCAACTTTAATAGCTGCTGATTTATTTCTATGCATATGATTAGAAGTATTATAATTCCTATTTCTTAAGATGTATTTTTTAAGTAATCTCTACACCCAACGTGGGGCTTGAACTTACAACCACCCCAAGATCAAGAGTTGCCTGCTCTACTGACTGAGCCAGCCAGGTGCCCCTGTAATTCCTATTTCTAAAGGGAAGATGGGGCGCCTGGGTGGCTCAGTTGGTTGGGTGGCTGCCTTCGGCTCAGGTCATGACCCCAGGGTTCTGGGACCGAGCCCCACATCAGGCTCCTTGCTCAGCGGGGAGCCTGCTTCTCCCCTGCCTGCCGTTCTCCCTGCTTGTGCTCTCTCTCTGTCTCTGTCTCATGCTCTCTGTCAAATAAATAAAATCTTAAAAAAAAAATAAAGGGAAGATAATATAGTGAACAAAAATATATCAGAGAATAACAAACGAAAGACCAAATATGAACTCAACTACCCAATCTAGCAGAGTTGTAAGTGAAAACTATAAAAAGACAAAAAACAAAACACACACACGTAAGAGTCATAGAGGACTGTGGTGGTGCTGTATATCCTTTCTCTAAACAGAATCTGGGACAATCTTCAGCAGATTTTATTGCAGTGGTGTAGGGCAGAGGCAATATTCTAAGTATTTAAAAACTGAGAGGACCCAGAAAATCAACCAATCAGATTCAATCCAAACTTAAACAGAATGGATGCTGGCTGCAAATAACTTCTTAACTATACTGATGCATACCAGCCAAAAATCAACCCTGATATAGTGGGAAACAAAAATAATAATACATCCACTCATGTACAAGCAGAGTTTCAGATCCTTGACCTACATATTTAATTTTATCCACTAGAATTCCTACAAAAAAGTAACCATGGTATAAAATAATCTCATTTAAATAGAGAGAACTGCTTTTGTAGAAGAAAAAAAGTTCATTTCAGATCACAGATATGGTCCAATATTCTAAGAGTTTTAGAAAAACAGAGTTAATAGCTTGAGTTGTTACATCTTTCAAGAAACTAAATGTGTTACTTTTAACACTCTACTTGTAAAATCCAGCAAGTGCAGGTATCTTGTCCCACAGTATCATTTGCCTTCAACAGTCATTATTTCATTCTCTTTTTCTAATCCTATCCTGGATCCTACCTCTGACCTGTTCTAATTTTTACAGAACTGCCTGCAACTCAAAATTAGAGGAAACAAGTATTTATTGATACCTTTTTCTTTTAATGTTATTTTATTTTTATATATAATATATGTAACATATATACACACACGCATTTATTTATTTATTTATTTATTTATTTATTTATTTATTTATAAAGTAGGCTCCACACCCAACATGGGGCTTACACTCATAACCGTAAGATTAAGTCACATGCTCTATTGAATGAGCCAGCCAGGTACCCCTTGGATACCTTTGTATAAGAAAAGTAAAGATTCAAAAAGTACCTGTCATGTATTTACCTTGCAATCTAACTTGAGAGACAGAACCCTCTCCCCACAAAATATATATATAAAACAATGTAAGGGACAGACAATAGATCAATAAAATATCAAAAAACTGTAAGTTTTATCTTTATGTTTTAGCCTCAGTTAAGTAAAACTCTTGCTCGTCTCATTCCTGCCTCCCTTTAGCATGCGTATCTGTTCCTTTCCCATGCTATGCCTTTCAACTAGTCACTTCTACTCTTATAATTCTACTTGTTATAAAACAGACAAATGATAAAAAAGAATGAATGCATGTGTAATGTGATAACTTCCTATTGCTCTGTCCAGGCAAATAATAGGTCATTTTCCACCTACCTCTTCTCCAAGACTACTGCTTCCATACTCCCAAATGTGAAAATGAATGGACTTTTGACAAAGAAATACATTACAAACTGAGAATTCTAGAGGGGGGATGGGTTAGCCTGGTGATGGGTATTAAAGAGGGCACGTACTAAATGGAGCACTGAGTGTTATACGCAAACAACGAATCATGGAACACTACATCAAAAACTAATGATGTAATGTATGGCAATAAAAATGTAAAAAAAAAAAAGAAATACATCACAAAATTAAACTGATTCATAATTATCTGCTTTGTTTCTACAACTTCATTTCCAAAATGGTTTTCTTTTTCTATTATTGATATCTATTTATAAAGAGCAATTACCTTCACAAATTCCATAGCAAAGAATTTTTTGTATTCCATCTCCATAAAAAAACTGCTGAAGATCAATTCGTGAAGGATCTTACGGGCACCTAGAGATCATTTTGGGGGGAAGTGGAAGAGTATCACCAAGGCAAAAAAAACATTCCAGTTATTAGAAGTGGCAGAATATTATAAAAATATTTCACATACCAACAGACCTCAAGAACTCAAATATGAGTAGCATTTATCACAATAATAGCTAGAATTTAAAATACATACACATAAGCCTTTTTCCTCTCTTTCTGCCCCTCCGCTTTGCCTTACTTCACTTTACCTTGCCCAAGCTTTCTCCATTCCTTTTTATTCTATTTCACTCAAAATTACTCTTACTCTGTGTCTTCCCTTTTCCATTTCCTTAAGCCTTTTTCTCACCTTTCACTGTATGTTCTGCATTTGGATTTTAAAAATGAAAATTAACATAGCTTTAACAATGGCACCAAATGAATATATATACATACTCTTTTTTACTGGCCCTGACTAAACGAAAAAACACTATAATTAAAAGCATCCTTAAGTTTTAACACAGAAGACTACATATTGATTGGTTAAATTTTCTTAAAGCACAATATCTTATCAATCAAGAGCACTGGTTTAATAAAAAAGATTATAGCTCCACTTTAAGGTCATGCTTCATGGCAAGCAGCATAAGCAAAGATCCACCTACCTTTATAAAGTTTTGCATCCCAAAGCATTAATCTGCTTATGAGACAGGGATTCTCAGAGCCAGGTTCTTCTCTAAGGCATGCTTGGCAAAAGATCTGTCTAAAGTCACCTACAAACAAAATAAGTCACATAACTTTTATTTTCATAATATTCCTCCCAAAGTATGTTTCCTACAATAACATGTGAAAAAATTAACATTAATCTTCCCAGCTTAATATCAAGAATAATTCTGTCAACATCAAAGAATCAAAAGCTGACAAAATATTATTTATGGCATTCTGTGATACAAATCTGAAAATTAACCAAAATGTATGAACCAAAAATGAAAAAGAAATTTTGTTTTATACTCAATGACATTTTCAAATTCATGGTTATTTCAAAAACCAGTATTTTATGAGAAATAAGAAAAATAGGCAATATGCTTACTTGAATAGCTCATAATTTTGTTCATCCAGGAGCCAAGACGCAAAGCAAATTTCTGATGAGCCATAACTTCAGAGTGTAATACTTCTACATGAAGTGGATGTTGAGAGACATTTTCTGAATGACTCTACAAATGAAAGGAATATTAAAAACAAAACACTAATTTTAAAATTTGTTTTAACTAAGTAATCTATTCTTCAAAAAAAATCTTATATAACACTTACAGTTTCAAATCTCTGGGTCTAAATGGCCCAATCCTACCTTTACTTAGGATACCAAACCACTTCAACAATGTGATTATTCTACTTCGGCTCTTGTAATGTGAATTCCTCTTACAATTCTCTTTTGTCCTTAATTCAGAAAATTACCTTTATATCTTCCTTTGCTTCCTGGCAAGCAGCAAAAGCACCTGCTTTGACAGCCCGACGACCCTAATTATAAACAAACATGAGAATTAAGTAGTAGAATGACAATCCCAATCAATAAGTAATATGTAGCCCAAAGGCCTAATGAGCTCTTAATTATTAATCATTTATCAACTGCCTAAAAGTAGTAAGATGGGCAATACCTGGAAGATAAACATAAATGTTTAACATCTTTATGAAACTTCAGAACTTTTGATACTGCTAGCAGAGAATATACTTTAGGATGCTGGATTTCCCGCTTGGCAAGAATGTTAGTTCTTCACTTCGTATAGTGTACTTTATTTCTATCCAATAATAATAATTTAGGTTTTTACTAAAATCCTGCTTTATGTTTTAAATACTTTTCATGCAGGCGCCTGGGTGGATCAGTCGGTTAAACGTCTACCTTCAGCTCAGGTCATGATCCCAGGGTCCTGGGACTGAGCCCCATGTCAGGCTCTCTGCTTGGCAGGGAGCCTGCTTCTCCCTCTCCCACTCCCCCTGCTTGTGCTCTCTCACTTTCTCTCTCTCTCTCTGTCAAATAAATAAATAAAACCTTTAAAAAATACTTTCCATGAATGAATTTACAAGTTCCTCAACATGTGTTCCACAACACACTTGGCATCCACTAGTGGATGACAGGTGTGACCAGGATATTGATTCCTCAAGCCCTAGCACCACTACACTAATTACTAATGCCATGCTGCTTCTTCCACTATATTACACTCCTCTCAAGGACAAGGATTAAGTTAATATTCCCTCTATATATCTGAGGAACACATTTTGCTTTGGATAGATATTTTTTAAAAAGCCGAACCACAGCATCAGTATTATGCTAAAAATAGTTGTAATAAATAAAAATGTCAAAATTAATGCATTTATTCATATGCTCAATAATTACAGAATGCTATTTTATTATTTTTTTAAAAGATTTTATTTATTTATTTGACAGAGAGAGACACAGCGAGAGAGGGAACACAAGCAGGGGGAGTGGGAGAGGGAGAAGCAGGCTCCCCGTGGAGCAGGGAGCCTGATGTGGGGCTCAATCCCAGGATCTGACCTGAGCCAAAGGCAGACGCTTAACGACTGAGCCACCTAGGTGCCTCTAGAATGCTATTTTAATAAATAATTATAGAAACAAACTAAAGTGGACATTCTTAACTACTTTTTGCCAAATATATTCAGTAACTTTATAATTACTTAGAATAAAAGAAGAAAGCTAGTTTATCTACAATTACGATACACAGAAAAATCAAGTTTTAACCAATTTACCTAGAATATAAGGAATAAAAGAAGAGTATGATTGTTCCTAACACAATACAAAAGAGCACTTGTCAAGGACTCAGTCAACCCCTGACTCCCAGGAAGCTGATATGGGGGAGCATAAGAATTCAAATGAAGCTCACAAACCTCTTTGTCTATGGCAGTGGTGTGCAACTGGGCTTCTGCGAGCTCACAGTCAAGAGCTCTTTGTAGACTGTATATGACATGGTCATATGAATGGTGTTCATCATTGAAAAGGACACAATAGTATCTTTCATTTTTCTCCCTGTTAAAAAATAAAAGATATATATTCAGATACTGAAATAAAGGAAAATGTAAAAAATAGACTAATACATAACATATAACCACAGTGTAGTTTCTTATGCATGAGAAAGTACCACAGCAATACTGATAAAGGATGTTATTTTAAGTGTTACAGTGCCATGAAATTTTAAAAACCCTGATACCATTTCATTTTTTTATTACCTCCAGATGTAAATTATTACTTTCAGTTTACTGGCAATATGTTTTTAATACTACTCTTACTGCGGCAAAGGGAGACAGCCCTAGGCTCAGGACCTTCAGATAGGCAATGATAAATGGTAAGATTTTATTAACACTCAGTTTTGTTTTTTTTTTCCCAGTCACTTCATTTTTACTACTTCACATTTTCAGCAAACAAATCAAGGTGCAAACAGGGTTTATTTCACATTAATATATTAACTGGGTTTTTTTTGTTGTTGTTTTGTCAAATAAATAGGGAATTCTCTTTAAATACCATCTCCTCACTTCACGGCCAGTCCAGAAGCAAATGAGAGCAAATTTTAGTGCATCCAGGGGGCATATCACCAATTAGGCATGAAGCTTAAAGGGAAGAGAGCAGGGTGAGGGGCTGGTGAGAGGTCATGGTCAGCACACAGGCTCAGGTCAGGGGCCTCTGTTCCAGCCCACCCCAAAGCCCCCAAACAGTATGATGGAATGAACATGCATTCTCCAGTCTGAGAAGCCTCTTCTAGAGGGAAAGGAGAGAAGGTAGAGGGAAACAAAAGCCAAAAATACCTGGAGGGAAGCAGCCGCCCAGCCCAGTGCCGTCCACCACTTGGAAGCTCAAGTTAAAGCTCCAAAAGTCAAAGTGGTGGCAACAGGTGACCAAGGACAGGACAGGGAGGTGAAAGTGAGGGTGACCTGGCTGGAGGCTGGCTGGGATTGGAATGTGGGCTGACCGTCCGGTGAGAAGGTCGCCTTCCATGGGGAGGCAGAGACCAGAGTGGAGGGAATGTGAGGGGGGCCCGGTGGGGGCCCTCAGGAAGACGCGAGGCTGGTCTGAGGGAGGTCACAAGGCTGAATATAAATTGGATTCCAAAATGAGGGAGCTGGACTGCGGTAGAGGAGGTGGCCAGAATCCTGCCATGGGCATGAAGCTACTAGAGCAAGACAGGAGCGAGATGGATGCCCACGCTCCTGAGCAGAGCCCCAGACACAGTGAGAGGGAAGCGCATCCAAGCGGCGCCGTGGGCTCCGAGCTAGCTTGAGAAGCGGGGAGGCACAGCTCCCAAGTCAAGGGGCCCCCCTTCCCTCAACACCAGTCCCTGCTAAGTGTTTTATAATCAGACCTGGAGGAAGAACAAGGCCCTTCCGTCACCCCCCTAGCCCCAGCCTCAGCCCCAAGGGGAAGGGAAGGGAAGGGAAGAGTGACAAGGGATAGGAGGCAGGGGCAGGAGGGGTCTTCTGGGTCTTCTTATCTTCTGGGGGGTAGTAAGGAGGTGGCGGAGGCTGGTTCGTGGGCATGTAGACATTGTGTGGGTTGCCCGGGTTGTAATAGGCACTGGCCGCTGCTTCTGCAGCCTTGGCTTCAGCTGCAGGAGTGGAAGGGACATCAGGGCGGCTGACTGGAGGTTCCATGGGCCCAGGATAGGGTGGTGGTGGAGGCTGCACATATCCCATGGCCCCATCCATCATGGGAGGTCCTGGATAGAACTCAGGTGGGGGCGGTGGATAGGGGTAGCCAGGAGGGCAGGGGTACATTCCATTGGCGACAGGCGGGGGAAAGACATAGGCCCCGCTGGGCATGTGAGAATACCCATAGGCTCCATTGGGGGCTTCGCCTCGGGAGGCTTGAGATACCACCTGTAGCATCCGCTGTCCAAACTCGATGGCGCCCCCTGCCGTAAAGGTCAACTTGTATGACGCAGAGCCTTCCCAGCCACCTCCTGCTTCAGCCTGCACCGTTCCTTTGATGTAATTTGCTCCAAACACGGGCTGCTTGATCTCACAGTCCTTCATCAGATAAAACGGCATCATGAAGGACTGCATGGCATCCTTGCCTTTGGACAGAAAGATGACCCGGTACGGGGTAAGGTAGATGGTGCCTTTCTTGGTCCCTTTGAAGGCCTCGGGCACGTTCTTCATGTCACTGAATGTAAGTTCCACATGATCATAAGTCATCAGAATGCTCTCGGTGTTGTTGACGATCACTCCGCCGCCCTCCAAGTGATTCTTGTTGAGCGCCATAGTCTCTCGGAAAAGGGTCCCGAGACTCCCAACATAGTGCCTTAACACTTAGTTTTTACTGAGTTTGTTTTTGCTTTTACTTTCTACTTACTTGAAGTGATACTGGTTTTATAGAACATTTAAGTTTAACAAAAAAAAAGGTGTGCAGATTGAAAGTGCTAGCACTACCATGTGACTGAGGGACCTCAGGCTGCTTAAACTTTTAAGCTTGCTGACATGACAGTGCCTCTTCCATCTTTAAAAAGAGTATAATATCTACATTCAAGAGTGGTGTAAGGATCTCATAAAAAATGTGAAAACAATTGTCATAGGCTACACAAATGTCAGATGTTATTATCAGTTTTAAACAGTTTACAGTATGCTTTTATAATATACTCAATCCATCTCATAACTCTAAGCTCAGGTCTGTTAGAGCTCAAGAAACAGGGGTGCTTGGTTGGCTCCATCGGTAGAGCATCTGGCTTTTGATCTTGGGGTCAAGAGTTCAAGCCCCATATTGAGTGTAGAGCTTACTTTAAAACAAAAACAAAAACAAAAACAAAAAAACTTCTCCATGGTCACAATGCCAAAAGCAGTTAGAAGGCCTTAAACTCAGATCTATGAATCTGAAGTCTGGTGCTGCTATATATACACTCAAACTCAAGCAACTCTCCCTTTTCAGGCAGGCAGATTGCTAGTATAATGTTTACCAACACAAAGTTTCTTTTTCTTTTTTTTAAGATTTATTTATTTATTTATTTATCTGAGAGAGAGGGAGAGGGAGAAGCAGACTCCCTGCTGAGCAGGGAACCTCATGTGGGGGTTGGATCCCAGGACCCTGGGATCATGACCCGAGCTGAAAATAGACGCTTAAGCAACTGAGCCACACAGGCACTCCAACAACACAAAGTTTCTTAAAGAGTTTAACTGACATTATCACATATCTGAAATTAATGCCTTTTTGGATGCAACCTCTGATGACCTTTATTTCCCCAAGCAGTTTATGGCCCACAAAGAGTCAAAACAATAGATTTAATGTCTTTATAAATTAAAATTCTTAATTCTCTCTCTTCCTAAAACAAAAAAATCCGTAAACTCAAAGAACAACAGTATTTAAATATGTGATGCAATTTTGTGAAATTCCTAATATTACATGGATAGAAAAATTCCCATAAGGCCCAAACTGTATCTTCATATCAGATCTGGAATTCTCTTGTACCTTTATAAGTTAAGAGCAAATCTGTCACTGAAAGACTTATGGTTGTTAGAAATTGCTGGGTTTTAGTTTTAAAATGTTAAATCCCTACAACTAGTAGGGAAATAATCCTAGGTATCAAAGCACATGGTAAAGGGCTATCTTCTTATTACCATCACAAACCTCTTGGGGAATCTGGAGGTTGGTCTAGGACAGGATCAAACTGGGCAATTTACTTCTCTTCTGGGATGAGTAGCTGCTAAGTCCTTATAAATCATTCAGAGTAAGACCCCCAGCCCAAATAATGAAAGAAAGGCCTTCATCCCCGCCATGGGCTGAGCTAATCCAGAAGAAGCTACAGGGAAAGAGGGAGAAATATCAGCAGCTATAGGAAGACTTGAGTAAATCCATGTCAGGGCAGCAAAGCTTGAGGCACAACTAACAGAAGGTAATATTGTGAAGGAGGAGCTGGCCCTGCTAGATGCGTCCAACATGGTCTTTTAATTTCTGCATCCTGTGCTGGTCAAACAGGAGCTGGGAGAGGCTCAGGCCACAGTGGGGAAGAGGCTGGACTGTATAACAGCTGAAATTAAGCAGTATGAATCCCAGCTCCGGGACCTCGAACGGCAGTCATAGCAACAGAGGGAGACCCTGGCTCAGCTGCAGCGGGAGTTCCAGTGGGCCCAGGCAGCCAAGGCAGGGGCTTCTGGGAAGGCCTGACCCCGTAGTGGGGGAAGGGGAGGGGAGGGAATGAAGCAGCTCTAGGGTCTATACTGTAGCTAATAAAATGTGAAAACACTGGGGTGTTTTCTGACCAAAACAAAAGACCCCCAAAATGCTCTTTCTTAAAAGTCAGCAGCTCCTGTTTAGGGTCTTCTTTTGGCTTACCTTCTGTTAGTGCCTATGCAGAGCATCTCATATAAATGGACATTTTGGAAGTATTCTCCAAAGAGAATTCTCTACATAATTGTTATAATGCTGATAAATTATAATCATTGCTAAAACTTCTCCCTTTTGAAAAATGTCCTCACCTTATCTGGAGTTCAGGAGGCAGTTCTTTTTCCTCTTCCCATATAGTCATTTCTACAATGTATTTTATCACTGAAGGGAATATTTTCCGGGCTTGGGCAATTACCTCTTCATTCAATGGACAACGTAAATTCTGTAAGACAGTATAGAAAAAATGTAACTACCAACATTGTATACAAATAAATGGATAAGAAAATGTTATTAATTTGTAATTATTTTAATAACTTCATTACACCATCCTTCAGGAACAAATTCAAGTTGAGCTCAAGAGGGTTGCTATTCACATCAGTTTACCTTAATTCCTTTTGGCCAAGTTGGTGCTACAGATAGAAAGGAAAGGAGACAGAACACAGAGTCCCCTTTTTAGTGATGCTCTCCCTTATGAATGTTCTCTGCCTTCCTGAGTAGCCTAATTATGGTAATATCAGAGAACATCTGGTTATCCCTTAGACCTTACAAAAAACTTTTCTCATTATTTCAAGTGATCCTCATAACCACTCTGTAAGAAAGGGAGAGAGTTAGTGACATTTTTAAAAAAGATTTTATTTACTTGAGAGAGCGCGCGCAAGAGAGAAAATGAGCGGGGGGGGGGGTGGGGTGGGGGGGGGGGGGGGGGGGGGAGGGAAAGGGAGAAGGAGGCTCCCCACTGAGCAGGGAGCCCAATGCAGGCTTGATCCCAGAACTCTGGGATCATGACCTGAGCAGAAGGCAGATGCTTAAAGGAATGTGCCACCCAGATGCCCAAGAATTAGTGACATTTAAAGGATAAGGAACCCATCCAAGGTAAAAGAGCGTATAAATAGCAGAAATGACAAAACCTGAGTCTTCGGCTCCCACAAAAAACCATGTTCTCTTTATTACAGACCACTACCTCCTTAACAAAAGGCTTGTTAAAATCAATCAGCTAAAAAATCCATTCAAATGCTCTTTTGATTTTGATATAAATCAAAACCACAATGAGATACTTCTTTATACCTGCTACAGTTACTATAATAAAAAAGACACACAATAACAAGTGCTGGCCAGGATGTAGAGAAATTTGAACCTTTATACACTGCTGGTGGAAATGTAAAATGGTGCAGGCAATTTGGAAAATAGTCTGACAGATGCTCAAAATATTTAGCATAGTTATATGACCCAGCAATTCCACTCCTACATAACTATCCAAAATAAATGAAAACATGTCTGAAACAAAAACATATACACAAATATTCATAGCAGCATTATTTATAATAGCCAAAAAGTGGAAACAACCCCAATGTCTATCAACTGATGAATGGATAAATAAAATATGAATTCTTTTTTTTTTAAGATTTTATTTATTTGACAGAGACACAGCGAGAGAGGGAACACAAGCAGGGGGAGTGGAAGAGGGAGAAGCAGGCTCTCTGCTGAGCAGAGAGCCCAACACGGGGCTTGATCCCAGGACCCCGAAATCTTGACCTGAGCCGAGGGCAGACGCTTAATGACTGAGCCACCCAGGCACCCCTAAAATATGAATTCTTATACAACAGAATATTACGTGTACCAAAAAGTACCTGGTACAAGTAATGTACCTTGATGAACCTTGAAAACATTATGCTGGTGAAAAAAGCCAATCATAAAAGACCCCACATACTATATGATCCCATTTATATAAAATGTCCGTAATAGGCATATGTATAGGGACAGAAAGTAAAATAGCGATTGCTTAAGGTTGGGGACTTTGTAAGAAATGGAGAGTGACTGCTGATGGATACAGGGTTTCTTTTGGGGGTGATGAAAATGTTCTATAATTGAGGTGATGGATGAAAAACTGTAAATATACCAAAAAGTGCTGAATTATACACTTTAAATGGGAGAATTTTTTAATATGGTATCAAGTTACATCTTAATAAGCTGTTTAAACAAAGAGTAAACAGGAAAAAAAAACAAAGGAACTTTTTAAGACAAAAAAAATCCAGTAGAAATTCAATATAAGATTTTAATACTAAATATTAACCTACCTGCTACAGACTGTTCTAATGAACTGTTTCATTCTGCATTCACCAAACTCTTAACCTACACATTTTTACTATTTTGCACCTATTCTTTCTCACTCCCCAATGCTTTATGATTTCAATTTTTACCTTCTCTTCAATATGTCACCTTCTCTCTGGAGATTTTGTTCAGAAGCACTTACTAGAGATACAAAGAATGCCAAAGTACTAAGAGCAATATTGGTCCACTACATTCCTATTTCATATAATATAATACACACATATGTGTATTTTTTTTTAGCTCAGTATATCTTTTCGAATTCTTCAAAATAGTAGTCTGAGGTGAAGAGTTAAAAGAATCAACTCATTACTTCCATGCCATAGCAATCAGAAGTAAGCCCTTTAGAAGAGGTCTGGTAAGTATATAAGAAACTTTCAAGCAAAGCATCTAAAGCTTAAAAAATAAGAAGGTCAATGAGAGGAAACAAAAGGGCTATAATCTAAATAGAAAAAAAAAACTTAATAATTAACCCAGAAATGTACTGCAAGACTAGAGAGAAACTGCTTTTATATATATACAGGAAAGAGGCCTCTCTTCAAAAGACATTGCCAAAAGCTGGATGATTGGCTGATTAGTATCAGCCAGATAGGATTACACTTGGTAGATTCCCACTATGACTGGCACAATACCATGCACCTGGTAGAGTATGGCTTTCACATTCATCAAAGCAAAGATGAAACAAAACGCTATGTACACAGGACTGTTTGTGTTGCATGAATTGATTAGTTACATGCTAGCCATAGGTGCCCCTCTTTCACCTCCAGATAATCAGTCAATTCCAGAATATCCAGGTTTACTTTTTGGATAAGCCTGAATGACCAATCGCCCTTTGAATCTAATTCTAAATCCAAGATCAGCTTAGTTCAAGACTAAATCCAGTGTTCTGAGGCCATTATGATTCAGGAAAACCCCATACGGACTCGAAATCCATGAGGCAGAGGGAGGGAAGCTAGCTTTGTAAACTCAGTGAGTCATCTTAACTCCCAAGGATTCTTCAGGTATTTAAAACACAAAGACAGGGGCGCCTGGGTGGCCCAGTCTTTAAGCATCTGCCTTTGGCTTAGGTCATGATCCCAGTGTCTTGGAGCCCCGCATCGGGATCCCTGCTTAGCCTGCTCAGCAGGAAGCCTGCTTCTCTCTCTCCCTCTCCTACTCCCCCTGCTTGTGTTCCCTCTCTTGCTGTGTCTCTGTCAAAAAAATAAATAAAATCTTAAAAAAAAAACCAAAAACACAAAGACAGAGGCGCCTGGGTGGCTCAGTCGTTAAGCATCTGCCTTCAGCTCAGGTCATGATTCCAGGCTCCTGGGATCCAGCCCCGTGAGCCCCACATTGGGCTCCCGGCTCAGTGGGAAGCCTGCTTCTCCCTCTCCCGCTCCTCCTGCTTGTGTTCCCTCTCTCACTATCTCTCAGTCAAATAAATAAATAAAATGTTAAATAAATAAATAAATAAATAAAACACAAAGACAGTTTTTGCAGAATGACTAGTTATGGAATGAACAGGTTATAAAAACCAAGCCACAAATCACTCTCTATGTGCCAAAATATTTCAAAATATTTTGACGTATTAGAAGAGGAAAGTGGAATAATCAGAATTAAAAGCGTTCCTTAAAACAAAAATGAGAATAAAATTGAAAGGGTTACACTGGTATTCCAGGTAATGGACATGTGGTAATATTTAATCAAGAAACGGGCACTTGATAAGTATTTGTCAAGTGAAGGAATGGCCATCTGAGATTAGGACAAGTAAATGAGTAAGAGGGAAGAGGCAATCTAAAAATCGAATGCTGAATAATAAAGTAAATGGGGGAAAAGGCTAACAACTGGTGAATGGGTAAAAAGTCTATGACTATTCTTTTTTTTTTTTTTAAGAGTTTTATTTATTTATTTATTTAAGAGAGATAGAGAGCACAAGTAGGCAGAGCGGCAGGCAGAGGGAGAGGGAGAAGCAGGCTCTCTGCCGAGCAGGGATCCGGATGCAGGGCTCGATCCCTGGATCCTGGGATCATGACCTGAGCCGAAGGCAGCCGCTTAACTGACTGAGCCACCCAGGAGCCCCTATATGACTATTCTTTGTACTATTTTTATTTTTGCAGCTTTTCATAAATTTGAAATTATTTCTAAATTCAAGATTTTAAAAAACCGTCTGGAACCCAGAATCTAAAGTAATCTGAATTTTAGGTCCAACTTTGCCACTGACTAGATAATGCAAACCTGAGCAAGTCACTTAACTTTACTGGGGCTCTGTTCCTACTTCTATAAAATGGAGCTACTATATCTACCTCACAAAGTAGTAATGAGGATAAAATTATGTAATTCATGTGAAAGATCTCTATTAAGTCTAAAACATACAAATGTGAGGTACTATTAATATCAGAAGTAAGAAAGGTAATGGGAAAAGTAGTAGGAGCTCTAATACTAATACTAATGACGACAGCTAACATTTACTGGGCCCTTAGAATACCCCCAGGCAAATTCTAGAGCTAAGCACTTTGCATGTATTACCTCATTTAATCCTCACAGCCCCGTGAGGCGGACGGTATTATCTCCAGTTTAGAGAGATACTGAAAGGTAGAAAGGTTGAGTAACTCTGCCAAAGTCACAGAGCTATCAGTGGGGTTCTAAAACAAACTGAGGACACCTGTTCTAGAGCCCATACTGTTGCCCTCTGATGTTTCTACTCAAGAGAAAACAACACATTTTACCTCTCCAAATATAATTCCATTTCTTTCCATTCTGAGTTTTGTAAAATAGAGTACACTACACACAAGTGGTCACATAGCACAAACATACAGAATACCAGGGGTTTCTTAATGATAGATCATTATCCTTTATGACATTGCAATGTTTTTTTCTGGTCTGTCATTTAATCTCATGACAAAGTTTTTGCTATAAAGAAGTTATTAATATTTGCAGAAGCCATTTATCAATCTTTTCCTTTTTATGGCTTCTGAATTTATTTTTATTTATTTATTTTTTTAAAGATTTTATTTATTCATCTGAGACACAGAGATACAGAGAGAGAGAGAGAGGAGAGAGCCTGAGCAGGGAGAGAGACAGAGGGAGGAGAAGCAGGCTCCCCGCTGAGCCAGGAGCCCGATGTGGGGGCTCGATCCC